AGGCCCTTTCTGCTTCTCACACCACCCCACCAGTGAGTAGGCTGGGGGTGCACAAGGAATTGAAAGGGGACACAGCTGGGACAGCTGATGTCAACTGACCAAAGGGATATTCCATACCATATGACATCATGTTCAGCTTATAAGGGACTGGGGGAAGAGGAAAAACAGGGTGGGGGGGCAGGGGTGCCAGCGTTCAGAGTGATGGCGTTTGTCTTCCTAAGTAACCATTATGCGTGATAGAGCCCTGCTCTCCTGGAGATGGCTGACCACCTGCCTGCCCATGGGAAGTGGTGAATTAATTCCTTGCTTTGCTTGTGCACGCGGCTTTTGATTTACCTATTAAATTGTCTTTATCTCAACCCAGGAATTTTCTCACCTTTACCCTTCTGATTCTCTCCCCCATCCTGTGGGAGGGGAGTGAGCGAGTGGCTGTGTGGTGCTTAGTTTTCAACCTGGACTAAACCACGACACCACAGCACCATACAAAATCACCTGAATTTTACAGTATTAATTTAGATTCTTATTGGGGAAATTAACATTTTCTTTAGCTCAATAGGTACAGAAATGCAAAAACAAGTAGTCATCACAAAATATAATACTTTATTACAAAGTGGCTTGCTGACTTCAAACAAGTAGAATAGCCTCAACAGTACATTCAGCAGCAAAAAGATATGTCCTGCCCTATACCAGCTGGAGTCTGACAGTTTTCAGACCTCTATTAAAGGATACCTGAGATTTAAGACATTACCTTAATTGTTTCCTAAGCAACAACTCAAGATCCTGCTGATGACTACGAGAAGGAATTCACCAAAAATAAAATAATAAGATCTTTCCATTGTTAAGCAATTGATGGATTACTATTTCTTGGTGTAAATTTGTTCTGTAGACCAAAACATTAAATACTCTAATTTGAGGGGGGATTGACTGAATTCAAGGAGAAAGCTATGGGTAAACAGTCTATACTAAAATGGTAATTCAGCATTTCCACATATATGAAGAAACACGTGACTTAATTGCTTGTTGCTTGTTCCATACACTTGTGAAATATTTTTCTATCTGCCTTTCATACTCAATTTTCTGCCCAAAAGCTTTATTCTTGGCTTTTTTCTTTTCTTTTTTTTTTTCTTTTACAGCATCAAAAATTTGCATGTTCCCCACAGGACTATAGCTATCCATCAGCCAAATGGAGCTTTTCTCTCCTAAATTTTCTAACAGAGTACGAGCAGTGTGTGTACGTGTGCACGTGCATGAGTGAGTGTATATGTATTCATATACATATATATGCATACATATATATACACATCCATGTGCATGTGTGTGCAGATAGGAACTTGTATTCAGAAGTGAAACAGAAGTGGCACTCTTGAAACTAATGATCAGTTTTCAAATGTCTGTTGAGGATCTGAATATAGTTTTACTAGATCATGGATGGATACACTACACAGATCACTTCCTACTGAATGTTTTGATGGAAGATGTATTTTCAAAATGGAGGTTCTGAACAAAGTGTCCATTATTTCTGTTTTAAAACACATTTTTTTCAATGATTTATCAAAATAAATTTCACTATTTTCATTTTTTTTGAAGATGACTAAAATTGGACCAAAATGTAATTAGTTGAAAAGCCAAACACTTCAGGAATTATCTTGTTGGAAATTTTAAATTAGTTTGTGCCACTTAAAAGTACTAAACACTCTTCTGTAGCAACTAAGAATCCTGCAAAATGAAAAAGTAAAGAGTACAGTTAAAGCTGGAGTAGTGCTTTCTTTTAAACACAGTTCTACCTAGACAAAATTCAAAAGAATTCCTTCTGTTTCACATTTAGGAGAAAACCCCCAGAAACCAAACTTCCCTCAGCAGCCCATTAAATGTATCTTTCATCAAAACACAGACATGGCATTTTCAAGAGAGTCAGTTTTTTCAGCAGACACTGCTGGCTGGACCACAGCAACTCACAAGATGTGTTCAAATGCTGCCTACCTAGTTTTAGGGTTCAGCCTGTTCGAAATGTAAAAATTCCATTCCAAAACCGCATTTTAAAAAAAAAAAGGGAGATAGGGAAAGGATATTGGGCCAGGTAGCAGTCAAAGATGCAGCAACTAAACTAGAAAAATCAAAAACTCTGAAACTATTTGCCTTCACATTCAAATTGAACTCTATGCAGAAGCTCTTCCTCCTTGCTGGAGAACAGTGAGTTTTCCCAGGAAAGCGTGAACTTCTTAATTCAAGACTTTCCAAAAGAGAGCAGAAAAAGGCTCATGCTGAAATCTCAGCTTAAGGAAGAACTAAACTGTTAGAGATACCCACCCCTGGAAAGCAAATTATTGAAAAAAAGTCTCTCTAGAGCAAAAGATGTAAGTATGCCTTGAGACCCCAGAAGAACAAGAACTGTAAAGGTCACTTCTGGTCTTCTCCTCCTCACTTGGAGGGTGTTTTTCTTTAGCTCTGAAGGAAGGAACGTGACTAGCAGGCAAACCTAACAATGACATAATACCAAATGGGATTCAGTAACAATGTACATCACAAAAGTTAAGAAAGCTGCAGTGGTTTATCCTAGGATCACATCTGGATTTTCTTTGCTTATTGCATTAAGTTGTTGCAGCAGGGAAA